AAAAAGACCGTGGACCTTATTACAAAGGTTACACAACAACCAGATGTTAAAGAATGAACATGATATGGCAATATTTCTCACACTTAGTAAATGGCGTCGAATCGTTCATTCTGAATCCTTGATATGGATGATGTCAGAAGCATCTATCAGAAATGTGAACACATCATCCTAGTACAAGCGTTCGCGATTTGAAAAGATCTGAGATACCTAATGTTATTAAAGTATTTATATAGATATATAAAGAATAACTAAAAAAAAATATGATTGTCTATAAAAAGAAAAACGAAATAGATGGTAAACAGTAATAAGTACATAATGTTGTATTCACAGTCCATAGGTGTGCAGACTAAGAAAAAATTGAAAATTATTTTTATGAAATTACGCTTCGTTATTTTTTTTTTCACTAAGACATTTGGTGTTGAACTATGGTGATCGTTTCAAAGTATCTCAAAACATATAGTTAGCCCTTACGGACTTGTTGCAGCCGGGACTTGGCAACAGGCCAAGACACAAATCGCAAGCTACACCTGTGTGCCCCTTGTTTTTTAAAAAAATGTCTAAATTTGTTTTAGAATTGCTTTATACAATATTAAATCTACGTTTTAACTTGAGGAGTAGGTATGTAAAAAGCTACCTGTATGGTTTCATTTATTAAAAAAAAAAATTCTCTATAAAAAGCGTAACCATTATCTTTTTAAATATTTGACTCTTACGGATTATTTGATTTTCATTTTATTACCATTACCCGTTTCTTTTAGTGTTTTATTATTAAAAACGACTAAAAAGAAAATAAACAAATTATTGACACAAGCCATTCAAGTCTTTTATTTATTTAAAACACTTGTTTTATTTAAATAAGTTCACGGTTTTCCAAAACAAACGCACTTTAAAATATTTATGCTAATTCTGACAATCGTCTTAGCATACATATGTTTATTTATAATTTAAACACGGAAATATATTTTACCGTTAGTGAAAACAATAATGCCAGCTTATTCTGAATTCGGTCGAGATTTTGACGTCCCAACTCGACACAATAATACAAACTTAATAGTTTCTTTTATAATGTAACAAAAGGAAATGTAGCACGTGGCCCCACTAAACTGCTGTTAGTGTAACATCTGTGTTTGAACGCTTTAGTGCTCTCGGTTACTGACATAAAATATTCATTAGATAAATAATAATAATAAACTACATGGAAAATAATATGACGAAAATCGGACTGCTGCTGCAGTCTATCGAGCTGTTAATATTTTGATACGAGAAGGTAAATTTTTAGGACTTCACATCCAATCGTTTTCATACATATATCTCAACATTCTTGATTCTGAAAAATGTTTGTCAGTTAGTTTTTCATAATCTTTTGCTCTTTTATTCAAAGATACCAAATGATAATTCTTGATAGCAGCATGATAAATCGATATCTATCATTTTTCACAATAACAAGTGACTCTTAAAATAACTAAATATATATTGAAACAAAAGTCACGTAGTAACTGCAACTTATAAAAAAGAGTCGCACCCAAAAATCTAATAGAATGTAGTTATATGAGGCAGGAGATAAAAACGAAAGCAAAACATTTGGGGCAACAACAAATAAGAGGAAATTTAAAAAGCCACATCTGTGACGATTCTTCAACACTCAAGCTAACTGATTCAAAACAAACAGGATAACAAAAAAATAAGGGAGGTGCTGTGAGAAAACAGGAAATTTTAAAATTTATCCCCTTTCCTGTCTCGGGTTTTAGGACAGCATACATCACAGTTCCAATTTCATCCGGTACCATTGCTTAAGTGTGGACGTAATCATTAATTATTAATGTCATTTATCAACTGTATTGGATTTGGTAATCACTGAGGCCATTCGAATTGAAAATCAAAATTTTCTTCGCCCAAGAATGAAAGTGATTAACGATGTAATGTCATCGTGTCCGCCCCCCCGTCAGACCACAATATTCAAGTCATGCCATATAATAGCAATATTGTAATGCTTTGGCGTGAAGTAAATTACCTTCTGTGCTGTAATTAAGCTTTATATAAATATGTAATTTGACATGCTGTAAGTGTTATATTGTTTAGAAAAATCTGATCGATAAATATTATATAATAAAAATGCATCAGATCAACGAACTCTGTATGTTGAAGCACAGGATATGGTAATGGAGGTAGAGAAATGGAAGCCGTAGAGTGTTCGACTATTTTAAGTATAAGTTCGAGGTAAGGGCGATTTATTCTGAGCTCTATTTCCTCTCTAGACGCTGCTGGACTCGTGGCATTACTTTTACTAGATGGATATGTCGATTAGATACATTAATATGGGTGTCGGGTGTAGCCAATGCTTATAGTTTTCGAAGTTCCAATGCACTCCATAGGGCAGCGTTGATTGAATTGCAAAAGATTTTATTCCAACACTTCAATAAAAATAAAAGCAGTATTACGACTATTGAAATCGTCAGTAATTATTATACTCGTACCTATATTATGTTGAAATTTTGGTACCTTTGAACTTGATCTTATTCAATTACTTCAAGGGGAAAATGGCAGATTAAAGATGGGATGAGATTAATTATATTGTAAAAGGGCTCGTCTTCTATATTATTACTTGAGAGGTTTGATCTCTTGGTATGATTTTAGTAGAGATCTATTCAAACAAAATTTCAGAATTTTAATAAAGAATATAAATTCTCATTAGTTTTTTGTTAAAGTTATATTTACTTTTTTATATAGCTATACTTCAGTACCAAAAGACTAAAAGTTAATATAAATAAAACATAATAACGCCACCTGGAATTTTGGAACATATCATCATCTTGGTCAACATCTGCTCGTTTTATTCTCTCGGGCATAATTCCGTGTCAGTCGTATATTCGGCAGCTGTTTGACAGGTGTGGTGTACACGTGCCACATTTGATACATTAGATTGCATTATAGTGTTATGCATTTCAAAATACTTATAATAAACTTAATTTCTTGTAAGTTATCATAAATTAATTTTGCGCTTTACCTTATAAATCTAAAGCTGATTAAATAGTACGTTATTTCAATGAATTGCTAATAACGTTATCAACAGTAATAAATAACTTCGTTCGATGAAATCATCGTTATAGTTAGAAGTTTTAAGAATATCTCGTGTAATAAAGACGGTGTAGCAATTAATACTTAAGTCTACACACTCTAATATTTATATGTGAGTTCTGCAGAAATTCTTGTTTCTAAATGTGGCAAATATCTGCTATAATTTCGCGTTTCCAAGCTTACAGAGTTATTTTATTATTCATATAGCGTCTTGGCGATTACTCAAACTGGAGTTTACATGTTCTGCTTCACTGTTTAACTTAAGTTTACAATGTGTTTACACGCCTTGTTACCTCCAATACGTTTTCAAATGGAAGTATTGTATAACATGTTCCTACTTGCGAACTGTGTTTTAACTTGTTTCTGTCTTATACGTGTACTTTAACGAGTTTCGTTTTATTACCGTGACTGAATTTAAACTTTACCGGCATTAAAGGATCCTAGTGAAACAATAAATTAGGTTCATGTAATAAAATTTAAACGAGCGGCTTTCAGTTCTAGGAATACAATATAATAAATAACAGTTTCTGTTGTTCTCTTTAAAGTTCAATCAAAGCAGATAAGGCAAGAGAAATTATGAAAACACCTAGATAGTTATCTGCGAGGGTCAGCTATATGTCGACGATCCCACAGTTGTCAATACTAAGCCTAAGCTCCGCGTACAGGTTACCGTAAATGGTGATCACTGTCAACAAGATAGCGCCTATCATCGGTATTGGAAAAACTCGGTCCAAAGAACCGGATTTGACCTCTTTGAAACTTAGAATTCCATTTTTGTGATATTTTAACATTAAACTTTAGATGCGTTGTAAAGGATATTACATCCGAACGGTACTCCTACGAGGGAGAGATAATATAATGTGTTGTTGGGTCTCTAGATGGCGGCGTTCGCAGGATGCGCTTGCACATCTGCCGACCCACGTGCCGCCTCCGCGTACCCAAGTTTCTCTTCTCAATCTTTTTTATTTTCGGTTACCAAGCGCATTCATCATTTGTAGGTAACAGATGGTTCTATATTAACAGTGTAATCTTTAGTAATTCGTTCTAATTAAATCATACTTGGTTTAGGTTTTGATTTCGTTGTGTAGGTGTATTTTTTTTTTCGCTCAAATAGTTTTGGATATTTTCCTCATTTGGGTACAGTTTAAAATAACAGTATTAGTTTGTTTGGCCTGGATTCGGGGGCACATGTGCTGAGTGAATCCATTTTTTGTCAGTTGGCGTCATAGGCCTTAAAGTTTACATGTGCAAATGTTTTTTTTGCGTCTTTTAGATAAAACGAAAGATCTTCTAAAGATTCAGAACTTTTTTATCTGAAAACCATGTAAATTTATTTTATTTTTGAGAAAGATCTACTGATTAGTGTTTACCTACGAAAATTAAACTACAAGCAAATTTCACTGATGCTGTAAACTTAAAAGCTGTAGCCTTTTGTTAGTTAAACTGACGGTTATTGCAAAGGTAATGTCTTCTACATTCTGCATCATAGGCATGCTTATAGCTCTGTTGTGTAATTTCTATGGCGGTGATTAAATCTCACCATTATTATTAACTGGCTCCATTCAAACACCCACCGCTGTACTAGGCGGTTTGGAACTATGCCGTCCACCCACAACGGCTGGTCCCGTAGGCGCAGCAGGGTCACACACACAAGCCTTTATTCATATATCAAATTCTAAACTCACTATTCATTGTTCGGGCATCAAATTTACATTCGGAGAGTCAATGTCGCCTGACAGACGCAAGGTCTACCATTGTTTTGGCGGTTTTGGTGGTCCGTATAAAATATGCACTCATTTTAGTATATACAATAGATTCTATTAATTTAACTTCTTCTAGTGTAGTTCTGTAACGTGCAAGCCAAGATCATCATAGCATAACCATGTGATGAAAAATCCAACCATGCATATATTAGGGTCATTTACCATTTATTTTCATGTTACTATTCAAGAGGACCATCGGCCCGACTTTTTCAAGCTGTACCAATGGTTAGTTTGTCACTTGAAACACACTTTCATCATCGATGAACGTTACAAACACTGCAATCATCCAATACACTAAGAACTCAAATGCACTAAGTTTGAACACGATTAGACGAGAGCACGATTAAACTTTTGCTTCAACAACACACGTACACGGCACAGTCGTGCGAGCGACGGACTGATGAGCGCGAGTCGAGCAAGCCGGCAGCGGCGGCGAGTGCGGTAGCACCCCTCTCCCCGCTTTTGGATATTCGAACGCTGCTGCACCCGACAAATCTGGCGACCGGCGCGACGGCTCGATGGAATTGTCGTGACTAGGCGATAGATTAAACCCACCTTTGTATGAAATTTCTTCTCGTTTTTACGCAGAGATTTCGTTTTGAGTTGGTCGTGATTTGACGGGCATACCGACACGGTCGTGTGGGCGCACGGCCCTCGATCGTTGCTCTATAATGTAATAAAGGGAGATTGTAAAATTTATTTACGCTGCGACGCGAGACCGTTATCTGACGTGTGGCACTCGACTGAGTATCGATGAGTGCATCTACAGCGATGGAACATACGAAAGACAACATTATAGAAGCCGATCTCGTTGATACAACCGGCTGAATAGGTAACACCAATATTGATGTTTATCCAAGCTCTTTTACTAAAAGATTTTTGTATCGATGTACAAAAACTTTGTTAAAAACTGACTCTTGAGAATAGAAAGCCTCAAAAGATTGATGAAGTCCAAAGATATCTTCGAAGTTAATAAAATTTCAATCGATAAACCATGCGATATGTATAATAATAAGAGTTGCATTCAACACATTGGTTTAATTGAGCAATTAGTCAAATCAAGGTTCGTTTCAGAATCGACTTTGTTGCACCTATAATAGTCACCTCAGGGTATGATCTATATTTCAATATCCTATTAATATTATAAAGGCGAAAGTTTGTAAGTATGGATGTATGGATGTTTGTTACTCTTTCACGAAAAAACTACTGGACGGATTTGGATAAAACTTTACAGCAATATAGGTTATACATCAGAATAACACATAGGGTACTTTTTACTGGGAAAACTTCTCACTCCCACGGGATACCGACTTCCACGCGGACGAAGTCGCGGGCGTCCACTAGTAGTCTTATATTTTCGACGAGGGATCCCGTTTCTGTAGTTTGGATCTGATATGTCTATTATACTTAGTATCATGATCTATCAAATAACGAAATTCATTTGAAACTACATCAAAGGCTGCCTTAGGTCTGAAATTTAAATGTAGTTTGGGTAAATATTTAATGACATGCTACTTTGAAATGAGATTTGGTTCTCTGTAATTAGGTTCATAATCCTTTTATCCTTTGAAAGAGATCGTACGGTAGCGATAAATAAGCATAGAAGTTGAAATGAGTCATCCATCAACATCGGTCCTCGTAGTTTTAGTTTTATTCTTTAAAACTTCGGGGAAGGTTGGACACAAGGTCGTGTAACAGGTCTCGATCAGGTTTTCTCCTTTTACTATTACATTTTTGCCTCGGGAGTTTTAATCTATCGATTCGACGCTTGTCGGATTTAAGGAGTTCTTTGGCAAGGATTATCCAGTTTTACTTTTAATTAGTTTCACAAGTTGGTCCCGTCAGCGAACTTTCGAAATCAATAGCATTTCAGATACTTTAAAATGTCGATTCGTTTTCTTTGAATGTAAATTTGAAGACTTTATAATGATAACGTAAAGCGAACTCGTTTTGCGTGTGTCGTTTTTCCTAATTAAGCCACCTTCCAAGATAACCAATAATTGGGAAGCAAAAACCGGTAATTTGTAGGTCATTGAACGTTTTTAGGACAAAAGTGTATCGCATTTTTGCAAGAACTCACAACGCATTTACTAGAAATACTACTGATGATTAGATTTTTTAATAAAAATAATTTTCAAATGGTTTGTTCTTATATCCTGATACATAATACTACATTTATCTATATTATTACCAAATCACAGATTCCTGTAGCTGGTAAATTAACTTTCAAGGCTTGTATAGCTATGAGTTATAAGATTTACCAATATTGTACTAGATGTAATTTTTTTGTTGTTTACCGTTAATGGCTTGTATTTGATATCAATAATATTCTCCAAATTTGTAACATAGTCTCTTCACTTCTTTATTTCTCTATCTACTAATATAATTTTGTTTCATCGTCATCACGGTTCTTTATTATAAACGACTTCAAAATCTAAAAATTTTAGATTCAGACATTTTATTCAGAACATCAGTTTTGTGTTTACATCAACATAACTATCAGCCTAGCTGATAGCATTCTTCCAAACAACTCCATCGAAATAACAAAAGATTCATGAACGTAAGAGCTGACTTTAAAACGTATATTATTTTTCACTTTCAGAAGTTAGATTCATTGTTTCCAACAAATGTTATATTATTGTTTTGTATTGAATAGTGAGCAAATTCTATGTAATACATATTCTATGACCGTATGATTAAATGAAACCCCTTTTCCTTTTCGAGTGGCTTGCATTTCATAAGATTAAGTCTACAATCGAACACCTACGCCGCATCTTGGCACACTTGTCACGAGTCCCACGTTTGACCCCCGTACACTTCCTATATCATTGTGCGCATTGAAGTTGTAAACCGCTTTGCTCTGAGCCTCCACACTGCTATTGTGATCGAGACTGCACCAAAAGGTATCACGGCTTTACAATTATAATCTCTGTGCTCGCTAACATTGAGCTGAGTTTACTCAGTTCCGGTTCTATCCTGGAGTCCGTTATCGTCTTCTAATTTTATTGCAGTACGTGATCGTGTAGTGTCAAAAATAATCAGACTTGGTAATTGTTGTAAGCAGAATGTTAAGAGAATATAATTCAATTTGTTATATATTATTAACGATATTCAGTAGAGGAGTGGGTACTAAGTGGTCATCATTTGGAGCTTTTTAATTCGATACCCGGCGAGATGAATGCAATAAGCCAAGGCTTAAAGAGAAATACTCGTAAAAGACCAGCCGTGTAATTCTGTAAAAATGTTTCGAACATCAGGAACCTGTATCCGCGGTGAGTTACGAATTTCGTATTTTATATAACTCGAAAATGCCGCTACAGCCTCACTGTTAAATGCGGAGTGAATTGAACTAAAATAAGTGAAGTTTTTTGACGTTAATCAACCTAGACACTTCTTTCTTCATTACCTCTGAAAATGGCAATTGTTACATAGCTGATTGGCCACAAGACACCTTCACATTTCATTTCTTTAATGTTTTTTAAGTTTAAATTATGAGTAATGTATGTATGTGTGTAATAGTATGATATTTATGTAAATATGTTATTTTTATGAAGCAATTGTTTGTTTTTCTTTGTTGGGCTCATAGGCTATCAGACACTCTTACTGGTATTAGAGAATGCTGTATGGCATTAAGTCCGCTATTTACTTTATCGTAATTAATTTTATTGAGTTATATTAGTGTATAGGTAAAATATTCTTTTGATTCCGTTTTGTCGTTTTAAAAATACAAAGCAAGATTACTTGATTCATATATATCTCAGATATCCCAGCCCATCCCTTATATCGAAACTCACTTAATTTCATTTGTGCCACGAAACGTATAGAAAGTACCAATTCAATGTTAAGCGGATTCGCTTTCGAAGTGAGTTCGGTTACCTGAGCGAATTCAAATTCGGGCTCGGTTTTTTTACGGAATCACTCTGCAGTAGGTAAGTGGTTTCTTCGTCGATAACGAAGCTCACTGGATGCGCTAATTAATGAAAACGAACGGGATAAGTTTAATACATTAATAATACAGATACAGATACAATGTTGCTGATGGCAGTCTTAAGTGATACAGTTAAATATTTATTTAAAGAAGAACTATTCTTAATGGATCTCGTTATGAATATAAAAACAGAGGCTCAAATGATATAACCCAAGGGTATAGCCCTTGGGTTCAATTGGCGCTTAAACCAAAACACAACTATTCCGGAGAGCCAAAATAGGTTTTTTTAAACAAAAATGCATAAAATATGTTTTAGAAATTAGAAAAAAAAAAGATCTAGAGAGTAAATTCTTGGGATTTGATCATGAAAAAGGCTAAGTAATTAGACCATGTCTATTTCATTTAGTTTCAAAGTACGCTTGAATTTACAACTTTAAAAGCAGTTTAATGTTCTTAAACTCCACCAAAATTGAAAAAAATTTAAACTATACGGGGTATGTCCATTTTTGACAATGTGACTATATTTACTGGTGTAAAAAAACAATCAATATATATTTTCTACATAATTATTATGGCAAATCTAAAGTAAAACAAAAATACATTTGGTTTTTCCATTGACAATTAATCTTTTGGAAGACGAACCCGAAAATTTTTGGAGCATACATATAAACGTTAGAGGTGAATTTCCACAAGTCGTATATACAGATAGATAGAGAAGAAAAAAAATTGAAAAATATGGTATTTATAAATCGATTTCGCCAATGGATTATACGCTAAATGAACCCAAATATATCTTTTAAACCATCGATATAGCAATCGATATAGCAAAAGAAAAAGATGATACCATTATAAAGATACTTAGACGTTAACTGTAACATCGTTCGCTAAGCTTCCAAAATCGTCATCCTTAGGGAATATAAGCTTTTAGTGGAATAAAAGTATCCTTAATATTAATCTATGCTATAAACTGTATATATGCCAAAGAAAAAAAAAACAAAATCTTTCTAGTCTATCTTTTGGTATAAATGCTCCGAATTATCATTTTCTCCACCAGTTTCTATGATTTACGATGTTTATTATGCATTCTATGTTCATATAATTATTTTAAAAATAATGAAAAGTAAAAAAAAAACACATTTAAAATATAAACATATAAAGTACATTCTACAAAAAAATCTAGAACAGACAAGCGACAGCAAATAACCAATTGAAATTATATATAAATAAAATATTGGTAGCTCATAGTGCTTTAATAAGAAATAATTGTCTCCCTTTATTAAAACTTTACATTTATAATATTCAAGCCATAAAATTTTAATTCTCTTTGAAGACACTCTGTAAACTGTTCTTAGAGGAATATTTCATACGAACATAAATAATTTAATAATTAAAATGTCAAACCATTCATTGTACCGCTCGAGAGTGGTTTCTTTGTGCCCACAGTAAGGTCTCTCTAATTTACGACTTTTTT